CCCCCCCCCCGGCCGCCATGTCCCTCCTGTCCGGCGACCCGTCCATGTTTTCCCGATCAGAGAGCATGATCCGCATCAACCTCCTTCGCGCCGGCATCACGAAGACCATGCGGCTGAGCACCTTCGACACGGTGGCCTCCCTGCGCATGCAGCTGATCGAGTCCAACCGGGCATACTACCCGTCGCCCAACTTCGGGCTCTTCTTCTTCTCGCCGCTCGCCGGGGCGGATGACGCGGGCACCGGCCCGGCCGGCACCCCCGGCCCGGCCGGCGCCTCCGGCCCGGCCGGCTGCGACACCCCCCTCCGGCCGAGCGGCTCCAGCCAGTCGCTCAGCTCCCTGCCCGGGGGCGGGCCGGCCCGGCTGCTGGAGGAGGCCGGCTTCCTGGACGACCGGGTGGCCCTGCTGGACTACGAGTTCCCGGCCGGCACCACGCTCTACCTGGTGCCCATGACCCGGACCCCGCCGAAGATCCCCGGGTTCCATGCGGCCCCGGTGACCATGCCGGACATCCCCCGCTTCGACATCCAGTCCATGGAGTCCTACCGGCCGCCCGGGGCCTCGAGCGCCGAGCGCTCCCTGCTCAAGGCCAACAGCCGGGACAAGCGTGTCCTGCTGATGCAGCTCATCCGCAAGGGGGAGCCCTCGCGTGCGTGGCTCTCCCCCCCCCTCTCTCTCTCTCTCTCTCCCTTCCCCCCCCCCCCTGCTTCGCCTCCACCCCGCTCCTCTCGACTTGCTGCCTCGGCCCCTGGCTGCCAGGCCCCCGTGCTGGCGCGTGCCGATCCGGCCGGCGTGGGCGCGGGCGCGCCCTCCGATCGGGGCCGGAGGAGAAATGCAAGGCCCGCCCGGCTGACATGTCGTACCCCCCCCCCCCGCCCCCGCCCCCGCCCTCGCCCCAGTCAACAACATCCGGCGCCTCCTGCGCAACGGCCTGGACCCGAACTTCCTGGAGTCCTCGCTCGGGGGCGACGCGCGCCCGGCGCCACCGCGCGCGTGCTTCGACGCCTTCGGCGACGAGGTCGAGGACATCGATGAGGCCCTGCAGTATGATGACCACTCGCCCCTGTCGATGGCCGCCATGCTGGACGCCGTGGATCTGATCCGGCTACTGGTGCTCGAGGGTGCGCCCGTCCGCCTGCCCGCACGCCCCGCACACATACACCCATGTCCGCCGGGGGCCCCCTTCCACCGCTGACACCCCTGGATTCCCCCGCCCCCCCCCCTCCCCTCCACCAGGCGGAGCGCATGTCGACTTCGCCAACCTCCGCCGACACACGGCCCTGCACCTGGCGGTGCGAGCCAACCGGCCCCAGTCGCTGGCGGTGCTGCTGCACCTGGGCGCCAGCCCGGACGGCCTGGGGCTCACCCCGTCGGCCCTGTCCGAGGCGGAGATCGCCCGGACCGGGCACGTCCTGCGCACGCCCCTCTACGACGCATGCTACCATGGCAGCCGGCGGGCCTGTGTCCTGGTACGCCCTTCCCGGCCCGGGTCTTCTGCCGCCCCCCCCCCCCCCCCCCCCCCCGGCCGGAGCTTCCTTGCCTCCCGCCCTGGCGAAGGCCCCCCTAACGCATGCATGTGCCCTGCTCTCCTTCGCTCCTTCTCCCGGCGTCCCCCCCTCCCACCCCACCCCCGGCCGGGGCAGCTCCTCCTGCGGAACGGCGCCACGCTCGACATTGCCGACGCCTTTTTCAACCCCCTGTCGATCGTGGCCCCCAGCCCCGGGGGCGGCTCCTCCGGCCAGCCGTCGGCCTACCCCCGCCGGTCGGAGCTGTCGCTGTCCTGCGCACACGGCGACTACGAGACGTCCCAGCTGCTGGTCAACTACGGGGCGCGGATCCGGTCGCGGGACGCGGTCCTCGGCCAGACGCCGCTGCACTTTGCCGTGAGCGCCCTGCTGGGGAAGCTGCGCCAGTCGCCGGTGCCGCTGATCCTGCCGGCATCGGCGGTGGCGGCCTCCGCCTCTTCCGCCTCCTCCCGGTCTTCGACCTTTGCCCGGCCGCCCGGGACCGGGACCGGGGCCGACGCCGACGCGGCCCCGGCCCCGGCCCCGGCCCCGGCCCAGCCACACCAGCAGCCGCTCAATGCCATCCCCAACATCTCCGGCTACCTGTCCATCATCAAGCTGCTGCTGTTCGATGTGGACATGAGTGACTTTGTGGATTGCCAGTGCGCGGACGATGTGGCCTCCCTGTACCCGGACCCGGGCCCGGCGCCGGGGGACGGCCCGGCCACCACGGTGGCCCCCGGCTGCACCGAGTGCCAAACCACCGGGCAACTGGACATCACCGGGTTCGCCGGGGCCGGGCCCGGGGCCGGGCCCGGGGCCCCCTCCTGCCGGGCCATGCTGGCGGCCTTCTTCCAGGAGTTGAACTTGGTCCTGCCGACGCCGCCGCGCGCGCCCACCGGCCAGGAAGCCCAGCCGACCCTCTGGTCGCGGGTGGACATCACCCAGACCCTGGCCTGCCTGGGGGCCGAGCTGTCGGCCCTGGTCAGCCTCTCGGCCCCGGGGGACACCTCGACCATCGACCATCTGGCGCTCTTCCTCCTGGAGCAGGAGGTCTCCCGGTCCGGGCTCAAGGGCCGGGTGTACTCGCTGGCGGCCCTGGTCCCGCCGGTCCGGCGCCTGTTCCAGCTGGTGCTCATGTATGATTGGCTGCTGGCGCGGCACCTGCTCAGCCACATCCGGCCCTATGACCCGGAGCAGGAGGGCGCCCTGCCCAGCAGCTCGGCCCTGCCGCTGGGGGCCGGCGGCCGGGATCAGGACTTCTCCGACCAGCTGCTGACCATGCGCCGGTGCGTGGCCGCCGGGCCGATGCCGCCGCCGGCGGCCGCGCGCCTGCTGGACCCGTCGTTGCACTTGGGCCGGGCGCCGGCCGCCGCCCCGCCCGCGGGCGCATCCTCGTCACTGGTGGCCGGGGCCGGCGGCACCACCACCCCCACCACGCCGCTGATGCCGGGCCGGGGCCACCTCCACTCGAGCAGTTCCGGCGGCGGGGGTCCCCCGTCCGGGGCTCGCCTCGGCTCCGACTACCCCCAGCCCCCGTCCTCCGCCGCCTCCTCGTCTTCCTCCTCCTCCTCCTCCTCCGCCGCCGCCGGGGCCGGCGGGTCCTTCGGGGAAGCCCTCTCCATGAGCATCCGGCCCCTGTCGCTGGAGCAGTCCGAGCGGCTACGCCGCACCGGCGGCGGCGGCCCCGGGCAGCCGGTGCACTACCTCCAGCGCCCGGTCCATGTGCCGCCCCCGCCGCCCATCGGCTTCCGCGGCATCTGCCCCTGAAGGGGGCGATGGCCGCCGCCCGCGCGCAATATACACACTGCTCACACATGTTCCTCGCGTGCCCCTCCGTGCAAGTGCTGCTCCGCGCCCCCCGCCCCCCCCTCCTTGCTGTGGGCGTGCTCCCCCGTGCCGGTGCCGTCCAGTTAAGGCCATTAATCCGCCCCCAAGAACGGGCGATAGGCCGTCCGGGCGGCGGAGCGCGGCCAGCCGCCCGGTCGCGCGCTGATCACGCGATGCGCCAACGCAGCTGCACGTTATACTTATTTAAATTTGCTCCCCGCCGCGCTCGCCCCGCGCCCCTCCCTCTTGGGCCGCCGCCGGAGTAACGCCACCGGCCGCGCGCGCCGCCCGCCCGCCGGCGCGTCCCTTCTGGAATCGCCAAACGCGCGCAAGGCGGCGGTGGTCTCTCCCCCCTGTCGGCCCCGGGGGCGGCGCGGTCGTGTGCCGCCGCAGCACGCACGCACGCACGCACGCACGCACGCACGCACAAACACACGCACGTACGCGCGCGCGCGCGAGCAGCTTCCCCGGGTGCCCGGGGTGGCTTGGGGGCACACTTGCCATCGTCCCCCGCCCAACCGACCCAGGGGGGGCAGGC